TGCCCTGGAACTTAATATGTATGCTATGCTAGGCTGACTTCAAACATAGAGGATTCACTTGTCTTTGCCTTTCAAGTGCTGGAATTAAAGGTGCATGCTACCACATCAGTTTACCTTAGGTTTTTCTTGGGAAAGGGATGGGCAAAGTAATAAGTTGGTGATAGACTGGACTGTATCTGAGAGGTAGAGAGCTGGTCTGTCCCTGTGCACAGGACCCTGAGTTTGATTTCCTAACCATGGGGATGAGGGTTGGTAAGAGAACTGGGTGTGGTAGTTAACATCAGTAGTGCTATATGCCAGACTGAAACAGGAGGATTGCAGGTTTGAAATCAGCCTAGGCTATGAACATCACCCTGAAAGTAAGTAGATAGAAGTTGGCAGTAGACTTTTGTATAGGTTCATAGTAACTATCTAAAGAGTTTCTAATAGCATTTCTTCTGTAACTAATACTTTTTACTCTTTAGGTTTTTTTCTGTTTCTAAAAAGTTGGAATCATGTATTTATGAAATTTTTAGCGTTTACTTAAAATTATTTAACTTTTTTGTGTTTATGGGCAATATTATTAAATGTTTTATTATGGATTACCATTGGAAGGAGACAGTACTCCATCTCTATCTAGAAGACTGAAGACAAAAGACATTTTGAGGATGTTATTTGTAGAGATGGCTTATTGAAAAAAAGATGTTCCAACTCCTCCTGCTCTTTTCTCATCTAGAAGTGAACAGAATCATACCACATTGTTTATTCCTTTCATTAACAATAAATATTTGTTTTGATAAAGGGGAATATGTATGTTGGCATTTCTGTACATTTTACTTTCCTTGAGAGGATTAAAAGCAGTAATGAGTGATCCTGTCCTTAGTGGACCTCCATCTAAAGCTTGTAGCTGTTGTAGCTCTTTCCTACCTTCCCCCTTTTTACAAGTGTTTGAGCATTTATGACATGGACCTGTATGTTCGTTGTCATGTTTTATTTGTTTGTTTTCTGTATCAACAACTGTCATCCCTGTTCTTGGAGCTCTTTAGTTTCAATGGCAAGCCTGCCTGGACATATACAAGGAAGGAAGCCTTTGTTTCTGGTCTCTGACTGGGTTCTACTGTTGGCATGATTGGATTTCTGCAGCATGGTTGAATCCTTTAAAGAGCTTACCATAAGGTGGTCTGGTTTTTGAGGCTTTGTCTTGTGTTTTATTGCAGTGACTGGTGGAGTGCTGGAATGTTATGTTTTAGCTCAGTGGTTTTCAACCTATGGGTCGTGACCCCCCTGGGGGGGGGAGCAGGCGTCGAATTACCTTTTCAGAGATCACCTAACACCATCAGAAAACACAGATACCTATATTGCAGTTCATAACAGCAGCAAAATGAAGTAGCAGGTTTTTTTTTTTTTATTTTTTTTTGGTTTTATAGTTGGGGGTCATCACAACTTGAGGAGCTGTATTAAAGGGTCATAGTATTAGGAAGGTTGAGAGCCACTGCTTTAACTTGAAGTTTTCTTACAGCCAGTCTGTGCTTTGCAGTAGCGTCTTGATTAACTTCCAGTCCACATTGAGTGTCCATTTACCAACAAACTGACTGATGAAGTATACGTTACACTCTGTTATTGGTGGTCATGGTGGCAATTCTAAAATGAGTGTGCACTAGAGGGAAGAAAAATAACTCAAAGCTTTACAAACTTCGTTGGCGATTATCAGTTCATTTTTTCTAGATTTTATTTTTGATTCTTACCTAAGAGTGGTTTTAAGTCATTTTGTTTATTGAAAACTTATGGCTCAACTTACAAGCATTATAAAGATTAAGAAGTGTTTCATGAGGCACATACTTAAGAGCACATCTAACATGTGACAGTTTGTAGTGAGCTTTTTTTGTAAAAGTACAAAGCAGTTTGCCTTCAGTGGAGGTTGAATATTGAAGACCACTTAGATTCTGTCTACAGCAGCAGGACTAAAGGTGGACCTAATTTCTTGAATTCCTGATAAGACTTTTTTATTAGCTGATGCTTATCTAATCACCCACCACTGAAGATTTCTCAAAAATAGCACAACACTAACACTCTTAGTACATAATTGACAGGTGTGTTAACTTATGGAACATGCCCAGTATCCATAACAAGGAAGTCCCAGTATTATTTACATTTTACATAAGAAGACATATCAGACAGCTAGCAAGAGTTGGCTGAGCTAGTTCAGACTGTCATCCACCATAGCCAAGTTAATTAGTATGATTATCCACTTCCTTTCTACAAAGATCATCAGAACTGATCTCATTATGTGTTGAGTCCTTACAAATGATAGCTTCTAGGGACCGTTATTATTCTTCAGTACTATTTCTATCCCACACCCCATGTTCCTCATGTTAACAGATGTTACTGCTTTGTGTGTCTTCTTGTCACAATACTTGTTCTTTTAGACTTTAACTCCTTACGCTTTTCTTGCTGTCTCTGAACTCCCACCAGTGTCCACATGGGTCATTTCCACAGCCCTTGAGTCCTCCACCTTGTCTCCAGTGGTCCTGCATCCCATGTTACATTTCCATCGATAACTCTCACCTCCCAGATTTGGAATTTAAGGATTTTGCTGTGTGACCCCCACTGATCCTTATTCGCAGTCTTTTCCTATGAAGCTTAACTACAGTAATTACTAGAACCTTCATTCTACTAAACACTTTGTCTTCCTCTTTTTCTTGGCCTAGCTTAGAGTCTGTGGTCTTATACCCCACCCCCTTTTTATTTAGCCAGAATCAACACTGTGCTTCTTGTGTTCTTAAACAAGTGCATCCAGGCTGCTTTCCCTCCTGCCGGCACCAGCACACAGCACTACCTGCGGTTGTAATCAGCTCTCTGTTCCTTCTCTTCCCTAAAGGGGAAAAAAAAAGTCTTTTTTTTTTTTTCAGTTTAGTTAACAGAAAAGAGACTGCTATTAGCTATCAGCCAAGGCTTATAGAGAGCAGTTTTAATATAGTAATGGGGAAAAGATTGAACTTCTCAGGGACCAGAATGTGAGGGTGTAGTTCACCAGGAGGCAAAGTGGGGAGTTTTTTTGATGTGTTGGGAAAGCTTAGTGACACGTTTTCTGACTAAATATGACAAATACTTGTTTCCTTATTGGTAGAAAGAGTACTACATGGAGGCCATTTTAGAAAATTAGTATACAAACGCCACCTGCCTGCCAAGACTGGGGAGGTCAGAGGACAACTTTCTGGAGTTTTCTCGTCTTTGGTCTTTGACAGTGGTTTTACGGGTTGATTTAGGCTGGCCCCAGGCATTTTTACTGGTGGGCTGTGCCTCTCTCCTTTATCTTTGGTGATTTCTCTCCACCAGCATAGTTATCTTGAAGTTTCTCTACCACCACATTGTTCCTTTTATTTGCTGTCTAGTATTCTGCTTAGGCTATTGCTATTTTGTTTTTTGAGATAGGGTATCCTATTGTAGCCCTGTCCGACCTGGAACTCACTCTGTATACCAGGCTAGCCTTGAACTCAGAGATTTACCTGCTTCTGCCTCCCTAGTGCTGAGATTAAAGATGTGCACACACACCCCTTCCCCCAGCGATATCTGCAGGTTGTTTATCCTTCACCTCTTATACAAGATTTATTCTTTCCAATTTGGACTTTTCAGTGAAGCTGCTGTGAAGAGCTGGGAGTGTGCTTTCGTATTTCGGGGGCAGATACCTCCAAAAATGACTTATCATAGGGTAGCTCAACTGCCTTCTATAGGTGTTGCTTCGTTTTACATTTGGGAGAGTTTTAGTTGCTTAGCATCACAAGTACAGTCAGCAACTTCCATAGTGTATTTATTATGTGTCTGTATCCTGTGAGTGTTTCTGCCATCGGTTCTCAGTGGCATATGGTGTTACACTACTTACCTGCAGTGTGAACATCTTTGGTGAAGTGATTGTTTAGAGCACCCACGTTGTGTGTGTTGTTTATTTTTCTTTAATTTTTAGTTTTGTTTGTTTGTTTTGTTTTATTTTTTTCACCAAACAGGGTGTTTCTGTGTAGCCTTGACTGTCCTGGAATTCTTTTGGTCAGGAAGGCTTCAAACTTGCCAAGATCTACCTGCCTCTGCCTCAACAAGTGCTGGGATTAAAGGCGTGGGCCACCATTACCCCGCCCCATGGTTTTGTTTGTTTACCTTTTTTGTGTGTAGTGTTTTGTTTCCCTGTATCCCTGCAGGCCAGAAGATCTCATTACAGATGGTTGTGAGCCACAATGTGGTTGCTAGAACTTGAACTCAGATACCTCGGAAGAGCAGCCAGTACTCTTAACTTCTGAGCCATCTCTCCAGGCTCAGGTTTTATTCTTAGCAGTTGTATTCTTAGAGTTTCTTACATTCTTGATTTGAGGGCTTTTGTAGTTCTTTAACATTGTATTACTTGGTTCTTGTCTTTTTTTTTTCCTTTTTAAGTTTTTTCAAAAACAGTTTTACATTTTTTTGAAACCCAACTTTATGATTTTTCTCTTTTATAGTTCTTTTTTTGTGTCTCATTTGAGTAATGACTCATTTTATTTCTATTCAAAAGAGTTAAATGTCTCAGACTGCTGTCTGGATAAAAAAGCATGTTATAAGTCTGAAATTGTTCTGCTTGTATTTATATTATTGTTATACTTTATTAGCAGACTGTTCACGATTTTGGTAATTGTATTTTTTGGGGGGTTGGATTTTAGCTTGCTAAAAGACCCCTAAAATTGCTGTTGATGAAGTTACTGTTTTATGGGTAAAGGAACCAAGGTTCCCATAGATTATTTGACTGCTATGGTTCACAGCTGGTGATCGTGTGAAGACCAGAGAGCCCCAGTGCTCTCAGGTCTAATTTGCTGCTTGTTTTCTTAGGAAGTTCTTTATAGGCTGTTGTCCTGCAGCATATGCAAGTCAGTTTAGATTGCTGGCAATATCCTCATGGAAAGCAGCATTGTTAGAAGCTTTCCAAAAGCAGCAGAATTCTCCCTTTAAATTTTATTAAATGAAGAGATTGAATGTCACATGTTTTTCCCTTCTTTCCTAAGGTCTGTAAACAGATTTGGCTAGGATTATTTGACGATAGATCTTCAGCAATTCCTGACTTCAGGGATCCACAAAAAGTGAAAGAGTTTCTACAAGAGAAATACGAAAAGAAAAGATGGTGAGTAAATTGTTTTAAAACCTCCCAGACTACAAGTATGAGTGAGAAATGATTGACTCTGTTAAGATAGACAGGTGGAACAGAAGGAATTATTGATGGTTGGTGGGTACAATAGCCTCATTACTTTTTGACTTTTCATTAGATTTGGTTTCCAGAAACCTTTGCTTGTACTTTTATCTCCATGTATCTATGTCTAGTAGCGAACAGCCTTTCATTACCATGTCAAGACTTCTGCCCAGGAAAGCCAGTGATCTCTACTAATTTCTTCAGATGTTTATCCTGTAATGCTTCTTTCCTTACATTCTTTAGTTTTTAGTGTTTACTGAGTAGTATTTTCAGTCACTGTTAACACAGCTCTTGTGTAGTAGTAGTCTTTCCAGTTAATTATGTCTTGCTGCAAGTCTTTGCTCTAAATATCTCTTCCTACCCAAGAAATTAGCTTGCTGGTTGGGGCAAGAAGGGAAATTTTACTCCTTCTAAACTACACTAAAAGTATGGGTTGTAACTGTAGAGCTAATACTCAGTATTTGGGGCTCCTCAGCTTTAGCTTCATAAGATAACTAAGTACAGAGAGTTGAGGATCAAAGGATAATTGGGAAGCAGATGGACTCTTGTTTCTTTGAGGAAGAGTATTTTGACCCAAGGAGTGATGTAGTCAAAGGTAGTATTGGTGGGGGAGAGTTTCCTGTGGCTTATGGGACAGATATCTGTGAACAGTAACATTTGCTCTGAGTTACACATCTGTATAAGCTGTATTTCTTAACATTGTCTTGTAAGTTTAGATTAACTAGGACTAGATTAACTAGAACTGGATGCATTAGGAATGACAAGGTAGAAATCTATCAGTAAAATTTTAGTTCAGAAAGAAAATATTAGAAGGTCCCCAGGGTAATAGTTAAATATGGTACACAAATGATTTTTTCTATTTTAGTTTTTTGAGACAGGGTTTCTCTGTGTAACAGCCCTAGCTGTCCTGGAACTTAGAGATCCTCCTGCCTTTTTCTCTTAAGGCATGTGCTGCTACATGCAGTTTGTTTATTTATGTAATTTTACTTAACTCCCCCCATCTTTTTTTTTCTTCGTAGACAGGGTTTCTCTGTGTAGCCAGCCTGAGTGTCCTGGAATCCACTCTGTAGATCAGGCTGGCCTTGAACTGAAAGAGAACAAAAAAAAAATTTTTTTTTAAACAAAAGCCATCATCCTTTATCGTTCTTGTTCTTTAGTTTCTAGGTTTCCCAGCCTATGGATAAAACTGTTCTCCTTGAGTAGTCCCACCTTGGCTGTTGCCTTTTGCAGCAGCGTTCATTTTCAACAGTTCAGAAAGTCAGTTAGGAGTTAGCTAGCTGCGATTTTAGTGAGCTTAGCTCTACCTGCAAAGAGAAGCAGGACTGTGAGAAAGAAGGAATGTGAAAGATGCTGGTACAGTCAATTCCTCTCCCACAATTTTAACAGGAAGTTCTTTCTTCAAACCACAGTCTAAAAATCCTGAAAATCTCAAATAATTGCGTTAATTTTCCCCCTTTTTTAATAAACACAGTAGTCATACGTAAGACTATTATAGATACAAGCTTTCTAAAAGTGATGGGTTGGTCTGGGCAGTGGTGGCACATGCATTTAATCCCAGCACTTGGGTGGCAGAAGCAAGTGGGTCTCTGTGAGTCTGAGGCCAACCTGGTCTACAGAGTGTGTTGAGGATAGTCAGGGCTACAAAAAAAAAAAAAAAAAAAAAAGACTAGAAAAGTGATGAGTGGAGTGGTGTTGGCCATTATCCTCATGAACCAGAATCTGCTCACCTGCCTCGTGCCGCTGTAACATGATCAGAGAGCAGTGAAATGGTTTGGCACATGGTCTGACCAGTGGCCACTTAGGCAGCCTTCCTAAGAACGTTTGTTGTAGGAAGCAGCGCAGCAGGGATAAAGTTGTATGAAGTTTTGAGATGGTTCTTTTCACTTAGATATACATTCTTTAAGTGGGGGCAGATCATTTTAGTCATAAACTATTATTTGCCATATCTTGTGAGCAGAGTTGTCCATACCCAAGAATTCATATACCACATTATTGAAGAGCATAAAAGAGTGTTTTATTCTCAGATCATATTCTGTATTTACCTGATATGGCTAGTTTAATTGTTTGTGATTGTTATATGGTTGGATAATAGCTAATACATTGGTAACTAATTCTAACCATACTACAAATATGTTTAATCCCCACAGCAGCTTTATAGGTTAATTAGTAATAGGAGCAGCGGGCCGCTTCCCACCACCTGGCTAGCTCTACCCGAAATAATTACACGGAAACTGTATTCATTTAAACAGTGCTTGGCCCATTAGCTTCAGCCTCTTATTGGCTAACTCACATCTTCATTAACCCATTTCTAATAATCTGTGTAGCACCACGAGGTGGTAGTTTACCAAGAAAGATCTTAACCTGCATCTGTCTGTCTTGGAGAGGAGAATCATGGCGACTGACCTCACTGCCTTCTTCCCAGCATCCTGTTCTGTTTAGTCCACCTACCTAATTTTCTGTCCTATTAAAGGGCCAAGGCAGTTTCTTTATTTAATCAATGAAATCAACACAAAACAGAAGACTCCCATATCAGGTGAAAAAACGGAAGCATGGAGTTGAAGTTAGTTTACCTAGAGGTTTCACAACTATTGAGTGGTGGGGCTGGGATTTGACCTCTGTCTCTGGGATAAATGCTTTTCACTTAAAGTTTTTTTTTTTCCCCCACACCTTCGTGAGATGGTCAATTAGAGGAAGGTGGGAATACACCTGAGATTATAGAGAACAAAAGTTGCCTTGTAATCCCTTTTCTAGAGATGAGCATTGCTGGTGTTCAGGCATCATATTTCTGCATCCTGCATTCTTTTTCTCCTTCCTTCATTCCCTCCCCATGTCCTATTTATCAGACCTGAAAGACTTGTTGAGTCACTTGGGTATCTATACTTGCCAAAGAAGGGGATAAGCTATGCAGAATTATATACATTTTAGAATAATGTATATAATATTTTTTGCTATACAGATATTTGTGAGCTTTGTTTCTCAGTTTTTAAAACTAAGATGGCAAGAGTAATATGTATATCTCTATATATGTTAATTGCTTGCTAAGGATAGATCTCTAGAGTAATATGAAGTATAGAGCATACCTACATATGTATTTCCATTAGATAGCAACTAAAAAATCATAGTTCATATAGATCAGAGGTGAATAATGTATTGATACACATTTTCATTTGGTTTTAGTTTTCATATTCTTTTATGACTTGATTCTTTTGTCCACTTTAAAGTGAAGTTCTTACTTTTAATAATACACATTTTGGGCCATTAATTATGTGTTTCCTCACCATTTCATTTATCTCGATATTTATGATCTTAAAACCTTCTCACTTTAAAATTTACAGTGTTAGCTGTTCTTTATGATGATTAACTGTAGGTCTTCTGTCTTCAAAACAGCAGTTGCTATAGTGTATTCTTTGAGTAATTTCAGGTAAATAATAGTCTTAACCTGCCAATTCTAAGTGCCATCTTTTCAAGTAAGATTATTGTTGCAAGAGTGTTGTATAAAATTTAAATTTAATATTTTAAATACGACTTCTTCAAATTTTTCTTAGCGGTCTGTTCTAATTTTCACATTAAAGGTATGTTCCACCAGAGCAAGCCAAAGTGGTGGCATCGGTTCACGCATCTATTTCAGGGTCTTCTGCCAGCAGCACAAGCAGCACGCCCGAGGTTAAGCCCCTGAAATCTCTGCTGGGAGACTCTGCACCAGCACTGCACTTAAATAAGGGCACACCTAGTCAGGTGAGGGGTTGATAACTCTTAAAAAAGATATACAGAGGTCTGAGTGCTAAGAACCTTTAATAGTGGGTCTGTGTGATGTAAAATACGTGAAGATTGTTTGACATGTGATAGGAATGTGTGGTTTTAGTTTTGCCATCTTTGTAAAGATGCTTAGTTTTTCTGTCTTTAGTGTCCAAGTCTGGTCTGGTGACCAGCATAGTCAGAAGAATAGTCTCTGTGGTGCTTTAACAGAAAATAGTAGGATTTTCTATATACCTGATTATGTAGCATGCTTGTTATCATTGAAATGCACACAGCTTTACAGTGTCCCTTACTCCCCAAACTGAACAGACTGAAACCATTTATATGTTGATACCTAAATATTTATTTTGTTGTAGATAATGTTAGGACTGTGTTACTGTGCAGCATTGTTACACCATACTGTATATGAATGGTTTTGAAGCAAAGTGCTACAGATTAAATCTTGTGCTTCTGAATAAATCCTTCTGTTTTCATAAGACTTAGAGTGGTAACAGTGAAGAACTGAGTGAAGTAACCCTTCCTGTGTAGAAATGCTTTTTCAGTATAATGAATTGAAGATAGTTGTATGTAAAACTTCAGCAGATCTTACTGAAAGTCTTTATAGTGAATGCATAAATGTTTATTTTAGAAAACACCATGAGTAAGTAATGTGCTTGTAGTCCCCAGTTGTAGGTCGCTCTCAAGGGCAGCAACAGGAAAAGAAGCAGTTTGACCTTTTGAGTGATCTTCTTGGCTCAGACATCTTTGCTGCTCCGGCTCCTCAGTCAACAGCTACAGCCAATTTTGCTAATTTTGCACATTTTAACAGTCATGCAGGTATGTCTTTTCCTGATAACTTTGCCCAGGATATGTGTAAATCACCCAGAAACATTAATTGTTTATTATCATTGGTCACCTATGAACATCATACCATATAGACATATAACCATGGTACTTTTAGGGGAACTTCTTAGATAGGTTTGTATGTAGCTCAAGCTGGCCTTGAATTTGCTCTATGCTAAAGATGACTGTAAACTCGTCCCACCCCACCTCCTGAGTGCTGAAATTAAGGATGTAAACTCTACTGCGCGCGCGCGCGCACACACACACACACACACACACACACACACACACACACACACACAGGTTTTGAGACAAGGATTCTCTGTGTAGCCTTAGCTGTCCTGAACTCTCTGTAGACCAGGCTGGCCACAGAAAGAACTTTATGTAACACAGGATGTGACTTCTTTCCATGAAAAAAAAAAGGAAGAGATTTTTTATTTTATTTTCATACTTCTTTATATTATGTGTGTGTGTAAGAGAGTGTGCACATGGTGAATATGTGGAAGTCAGAGGAAAACTTGTAACAGTGTTTTCTCCTTTTTCGTCATGTGGATCCTGGGGATTAAACTCAGGTCTTATAGGCTTGGTAGCTGGTGTCTTTACCTACGGAGCCCTACCAACAGTGTGGCCTGAGAGATGTTAATGTGTTTGTATATACTACCTTTTTATTATGGAAAATTACAAATACCAGATGTAAATGTGTAATGTAACTTAGGTATTACTCTCATGTCACTAGTACTGTTTAATAGATTTTAATACAAATTTTAGACATAAATATTTTGTGTCTATGTGCCCCCTCTCTCGTGTCTGTTCATATCTGCACGTACCTTCTAGGTCAGTATCAATTGTCTTCATTCTCTCTTCACTTACTTTAGTACAGGGTCTCTCACTGAACTTAAAGTTATCCAGCTGGCTAGTTCAGCTGGCCAGCAAGCTCCATCTACCCAATCAGTGGGGTAACAGACACATATTACTGAACCCAGGAGGGCATCTGATTTCAGGTTCTCATACTTTCGTAGTAGCTACTTTGTTGAATGAGAGTCATTGCCCAGACCCTAGCATTTTCATTGTTAAATATCACAGTATGTAGTAGAATCGTTCTAAATAATGATAAAAGTTAGTGAGTATTCAAATTTTCATTCCAGTCAAATTTGTGTTTGTATATATAGTATATGTTATGTATATGTATAAACATATTCACTTACTCTCACACACAGTGTGTCTGTGGTTTGTTTTAATCAGTTTTTTTTTTTTTTTTAAGTATTCTTTGTAATTGAACTCCATTTTGGTTAGGTTTCTATAGGTTGTCCCATCATCTTTTTCTTTGTGATTTGTTAGAGAAAGTAGGTTATTTGTCTTGTGGATTCTGTGGTATCTGAACTTGTTAATTGCCCTCCTTTGATACGTTTAAAAATTCTTTCCTGTATTGCTTATAAAATTAGTAGCTGGATCTGGAGGCTCCATCAGTTGAGAATGTGTCTTTCTTACCAAGGATGGGGACTGCTAGGCAAGTTAGAGGCTTTAGTTTGTATGTTGGGGGGTGTGGCTAGGGTATTACTTAGGACTTATGAGACACATAAGTTAAAAAAAAAGCTACATAGTGAAGAACCTCTTTCTCAAAACTAAAAGCAGAACAAAAAAGTATTTTATTTATGTGATTAAACTATCTCTGTATCATTACTTTAGGCATTTAAATAACATTTAATAACTTTTCGGATTTGCCAAGCTCATTATCATTTTAAAGTGAGTTACTGGGCTACAAAGGTAGCTGAGTAAATTGTTTGCTGTATGAGCATAATGATCTCATTTTAGATTTTCAGCACACACATAACAAAAGCTGGGTACAGAGCCCAGCATTCGGGGCAAAGACTGGTGCTTCCTGTGACTCAGTGTCCTCGGCTTAGTGAGAAATCCTGCCTCAGGAGAATAAAGGTGGAGAGCCCTGGGGAAGACACCTGAAATCAGCCTCTGTCCTCTTTTCATGTACACATAAATAAATAAAACAAAAAAATCCAAATGGATTTCCTAGAATGTATCCAGTTTTAGTTACTAAAACAAATGTACTTAATGTTCTGAATTAGCATTTTTTTTAATTACTAGAGTATTTTCAAAGTGTATTGTGAACAAACCTATGGCTTTTACAAAGTGCTTTTGGAAATTTTGGATACTGTTTAGCATATATGACTAATTGGGTTAAAATATTAATTTTTAAATGGAATTCTCTTTAAAGTGAGTTGTATTGCATTGGCATTTTCATAAAATTCTTAAATTCATTTGTCATGTCTTTTCAGTTGTCGTTTTCATATTCATTAACATATGTTGTCCTTGCCATTTACAGCTCAGAATTCTGCAAATGCAGATTTTGCAAACTTTGATGCATTTGGACAGTCTAGTGGTTCGAGTAATTTTGGAGGTTTCCCCACAGCAAGTCACTCTCCTTTTCAGCCCCAAACTACAGGTAGAGCCTCTCCAGCATTGTGTTTAAGTGTTTGCTTTAAAAAACAGAACTTGCCAAATACAACTTTAAAAAACTAAATTCTCTAATGACCTAATTTTAAAGTAGTTAGTTCTATTTTACAAAGCTCTGGGGAAACCTGAAATCTTTGTTTCTCTGAACTCTTGGTCATTGTCTGTTGTCCAACACCCACCCTCCTCTTCCTGCACATGGTTCTTTCCGTCAAGTGAGGTTGTAAAGCAACAAAACTTTTGAAACACAGTGATAAAGGCTGATACTGTATCTTGTGATAGGGAAGCTAGTTGATAGCTTCCATAGAAATAAAAATAAGTTATTTTATAGGGCAGCAAACTTAAGAAAAGCATTTTAATGTTATTTATTCAGGTATAAATTATTAATCACTTTAATTAAATATGGAAATCGTTTTGTGCAGGAATTGGTTTTCAGGAACATTCTTCCATAAAGTATACTGTTTTCAGAAATTCATTGAACCCTTATTTAGCTTTTTGGCTGACTATTTTTCTTTCAAGTTTTAACTGTGTATGTGTTGTTTTAAAGTCTTTTCTTTCAATTTTCTTTTCTTCCCTTTCCCCTTTAACTTTCATCATTTACATAATTTCTGGCTGTCCAGCATTTAGAGTACTTTCATCTAGCTGCAGTTTTGGTGACTTTACTTCAGCTTTTCCTCTCCAGGCTGCCCACAGTAAGTTCTGTTGTCCAGTAGGCATCTTATTAATTTATATCCTTTTTGTGTTGTTTCATGTTTTTTCAGTTATGAAATTATCATTATTTTTAATGATAAGCCTTCATAAATTTGTGTTACCCTCTTTTATTAAACTCAGAGTTAAAGGCACAGTTTTTTATGAAAGTTGATCTAATAATTTGAAATAAAAATTTTCATAAAAATTAAAAATTTAATATTTTGTTTGCTATCTACTCATAATAGATCATTGTCTTGTAACATATCTATGCTAGTTTTAGCTGATTTTTTTTTAAAACTTAATTTTAAAATGGAGACTTGCTGTGCTGACCAGGTTGACGTTGAACTGGCAATCCTCCTGCCTCAGACTCCTGAGTAAGTCAGATTATAGGCATATGTCATTATGTCCAGTGTTCTTTGAAACAGCCAGAGTCCAATTCTTGAAGAAGATCAGTTTGTTTTGTTTTAGAATGTGAAAGAACTCATGCTGGTAGGTCTTTTGCATTTGGGTAACGACCTGTTGTGTTTAAAAGAATATCTGAATTGTGCCTTCCCTTAGTATGTCTAATGCTATTTTGACAGTTTAGGAAAAAAGAACTAATATCTCTGTAGTATTCAAAGCAAAGAATGAAAGGCACTACTGTAGTCTTTGATGAGTGCTTAGAAAAGTCTCTAGGACTGAGAACATACTTTAAGATTTAGGAGGCATTTTGTTATTGACTGATAGGTGAATTGTGCTTTATGTTGCAAAAAAATTACTGTCATAAACTTTAATTTTTATACTTTGAACTGCATAGTAGGACTTAGTTTTACTCTGAACATCAGGCTGCTGAATACACATTGGTTGTTGTGTAGAGTTATGTAATGGCTCACAGATTTTTTTTGTTTGTAAGCATTACTCGGGGTCTGTTGATGACCTCTCATGTGATGCTGCTGTCATTCCATGCCTCCGCTCCATCTCCATAGTAGATTCTGGTGTACTCTAGGGTGGACACTGTCAGGGCCTTAGAAAACCAAGTTTCATAATTTATAAGTCACATGATTATCAGTGTTTTTATAGGACACCTACCTTAAGCAGAAATGATCACAAGTAATCTACCAGTGAGATTGAGAGAAGCCTAGAAATTTCATGTTTTGTTTATTCTGTTACAGGTGGAAGTGCTGGATCAGTAAATGCTAATTTTGCTCATTTTGATAACTTCCCCAAATCCTCCAGTGCTGATTTTGGAACCTTCAGTACATCCCAGAGTCATCAGACAGCATCAACTGTTAGTAAAGTTTCAACAAACAAAGCTGGTTTACAGACAGCAGACAAATATGCGGCACTTGCTAATTTAGACAATATCTTCAGTGCTGGGCAAGGTATCCATGTGTAAACAAAGCAGATGCTAATTTGTCTAAATTACTTATGTTAAAACCTGAGGAGACAGTGCTTTTCTCACTTGTATAGAAGTTATGTGCACAGTGAATGTTTTGAGTAGGGTTGTAGGCACTTTTGCATGTAATATACCAGAAGACTGAAGATGTAGAAGTCAACTTAAACAATTATTTTCAAAAGAATAATTGAAAATAATGTATTTTTATTTTCAAAAACACGCTTTACTATTCTATGACTATAGTGCTATTTTATAATTTCAATCATATGTGCATTTTGAACTGTATTAATAACATTTTGGCATTTTGATGTCCCAACTCATTTTTTTTTTTTTGAGACAGGGTTTCTCTGTATAGCCCTGGCTGTCCTGGAACTCACTCTGTAGACCAGGCTGGCCTTGAACTTACAGAAACCTCCCCATTTTTTAAATTTTTTTTTTTTTTTTTTTGAGACAGGGTTTCTCTGTATAGCCCTGGCTGTCCTGGAACTCACTCTGTAGACCAGGCTGGCCTTGAACTTACAGAAACCTCCCCATTTTTTAAATATATTTTTGTAGTTAGTTTTGGCCTTTAGGTCAGTATTTCCCATGTAAAAATGTAAAGCTCGGTGAGAACAGTGGGGATGTGGCCTACACTGGATTCTGCATCTTGTTTTTCTCATCTCTAAACTGAGAGAGATCATACACTTGAATTCTGGGACTTAGATTTTGTGAATTGTTGTACACAAAGCATTTAGAGTACTGCCTAGCACAGGAAGCACTTAGTAAATATCTCTATTTTTTTATGGAAAATCCTGGAAGAATGGTACTATTGATAGATTATATACATTAGGTCCATCATATAAATTTATGTGTTAATTTGAACGAAACCATCTGTCTCAGAGTTCTTTAAATCTTGTTTAATGTTTAGATCACATCCATGTTGGGGTTACCTGTGTTTCATGGCAAATACGGTTGATGAACTGACAATATAATATTAAAGTTTTGGTGTAACTTTTTTGTTTGTTTGCCTTCAGGAGGTGATCAAGGGAGTGGTTTTGGGACCACGGGTAAAGCTCCTGTTGGTTCTGTGGTTTCAGTTCCCAGTCACTCAAGTGCATCTTCAGACAAGTACGCAGCACTAGCAGAGTTAGACAGCGTGTTCAGTTCTGCAGCCACCTCCAGTAATGCATACACGTCCACGAGTAACGCTAGCAGGTACAGCTTGTCTTAGTCAGCACCCCTGGCTTTGACCTTGGTCTCCATGTCTGAATAACAGTTAAAAGTGACCTTTGTAGGGTTGTAACTTAAAAATAATTGAGTAGTTTTTAGACTTAAATAGTTTTTAAGTTGAAATTGAATGTAACTTGCTGTTTAAAATGTAATTCTTGAGATTTTGCCATATACTTTTATCAAGTCTTAGAAAATATTAAATTCTTTTCACTCCTGGATGCTAAATGTACTTGAAAGAACACAAATTTCTAAGTGGACGATTACATATGGGTTGTACTCAGCAGTCAAGTTGCGTATGTCAGGGCATAGTGTTTGCAGTTTTAGTTTTTAGTCTGTTTGCACCAAACCCCACTGCTACAGTCAGTTCTCCAGCTCGTTATTGTCATTAGTATTGTAGACTGCACACGCACTGCTTTGCTCACACAGACCTGTGGAAAGGAGTTCCAAAGAGCAGGAAGACTACATGTTTAAAATATCTCCCTTGTGTTAAGTAAGGTTTTGTGAAGTCCAGGTTGGTTATGAGTTCATGGTCCTTTGTCTCCAGAGTACTTACAGGCATGTGCTTCTAAACCTAGAAGAGCGTTAGATTTTTAACAACTGTTAAAATTTATTGAGAGTGTACAGCATTCTCGTTATTTCTTTTGTTCCATATCTGTAGATATATCTGCTTTATTGCTATTACTATTTAGTTTATTTCCCTTTGACATCTTTCCTAGAGGGAAATTCTATTTGAGATAGGACAAATTGAATCCAAATAATAAAATTTGTCATTATTTTAGTTTGTTTCACTAGTATTGTCTGTTTTATTTTTAATAATAGTAATAAGGTATCCATAAGGCCTGGAAACATAGATAAAATCCATGTGATAAGTGGATTGTTGACATTGTATTGTGATTTATTAGTGGTTTACAAATGTGATCTGTTGTGTTTGAGTTATGTAAGACTCTTTACGGTATCTCTGAGTTCAGACCTCTTTTTTCATAATTCTGAGATGCTAAGTTTATTTTTCAGTGACTAACATTTATTTTGATAGTACACAAAATACAAGCAGGCAGGAAAGCCTTGCTGCAGAAATGCTAAGTTAGTATCATCAGATCACACCAGAGTAGACATTGTGTTTCTACACATAGCACTATTTTATTTCTGATTTTTAAAAAAATTTGTTTCTTTCTGTTGCCTGGGCTAGTGTTGTACTCATGATTCTTCCTCATCCTCTCAACTAACATGTGACACCATTTCTCTCTTTGCCTTATGAATAGTGTTCATTAGTTTTTCTAACTACTGTACTTGATAAAATTGTAGCATTTTCAGCTTACTAGTTTTCTATTAAATGCATTTTCTGTATGTTATCAAGTAGTTTGGATACATAGTAAAACATAATGGTCGTCTTAAAAAGAAATTTACTATTTTTAAGTTTTTGGATAAACCAGCCACTCAGTTTATGGTGGCTTGGATTTGAATATTTGTCAGATATTTTTATACAGTGTGATCACTGTAAAGACTGCCCCTTTTGTTGGGGTTAGTGCTCAAGATAGTACTTGCCCAGCATGCAGATCACTCTGGATTTGATTCCTGGAACCATGAATGGGCACAAAGGTGCATACCTTTATTGCCAGTACCTGTACTTAGAGGCAGAAAGATCAGAAGTTCAAGGTCATCCTGCATAACAGATTCCTGGCTGGCCTGCGTTTATAAAACCTTATCTCATAAAGGAAACAAAAATTGTTGAAATTAGATGTTAGAATTTTGGGGAATTTGTGCATTCTACCATAAACTTGAAAGTGAAGATACAGTGAACTTTGACTTTGTGGGGTGGAAAAAGTCCATTGATGGGTTTCGAGTTCCCCTTTTCAGGCTAGCCTTTAGGAAACTGCCAGTTTTGGTGTCATAGCAAAGAAAATTAAATGCTATTTATTACTTGTTGTTAAGTATGTGTATAAAATACATGTTCATTCTATACTTCAAACAGATGGTAATATATGCTTGGATTAGTAGACGTATACAAAAAACATTCTTTTTGCTTTGAAATTTTAGTAATAAAAATACTTAGGCTGGCATATAATTGAATCCAATCTTAGATGCATATTTTTTTAAATTATCCCTTTCTATATACTACTGATTGACAGAGACGGCATATGTAAACATTTTTGTTACTGGAATTTCAGTAGTTTTTATAATGTAAACTCATCTTGAGTTACAAATGAAAACGACAGTGATGTTTAGAACAGTTAATTTTATGTGTTTCTACATCTTGTGTCCACCTTGTAGGTAGATGACCTTACATCCTTATTGAATGCTGACTCTTGATCTTCTTTTCAGCAGTGTTTTTGGAACCGTGCCTGTGGGTGCTTCTGCTCAGACACAACCTGCTTCAAGTGGGCCTGCTCCATTTGGGGGTATGTGCTTTTCATAGAGAATGTTTTTAGGGGTGCTGGGAATATAGTAAGAGAGCAGCATTTTATTATCAAAATGTTCACATTTCTGTTTTGAAAAATATAGTGAAGAAAGTTTTAAAATCTTGAGTACAAAGTATTAGGATTTTATAGCATATTTTATACTTTTTTAAAAGCTACGCCTTCTACGAATCCATTTGTTGCTGCTACTGGTCCTTCTGCGGCATCGTCTACAAACCCATTTCAGACCAATGCCAGAGGAGCAACAGGTAAGAAAAAGACAGATCAAGGAACCATAACCATGGGGGAAGGAGTTTATTATTTATTTGTTTATTATAAAGCATACCTAAACAAAAGGCCTCTTTCTACTGAAGCACAGTGCAAGAAAGGGTAGGTGCGTGTGTTCAGAAACACAAGATGGCAGGCAGCTGGGTGTGGTGACATGTATCTTTCATCCCAGTACTTAGAAGACTGAGGCAGGAGAATAGTGAGTGTGAGGCCAGCCTGAGTCACATGCAGAGACATTGTTTAATGGGTGATCGTGGCAAACACCTTTAATCCCAGCACTCGGGAGTCCTAGGCCAGCATAGTCTACAGAGCTAGTTCCAGATCAGCCAGAGTTATAGAGAAACCCTGTCTGAAAAAATGAAAGGTTAATAAGAAAGAAAGAAAGAAAGAAAGAAAGAAAGAAAGAAAGAAAGAAAGAAGGAAGAAAGGAAGGCCTGGTCTAAAAAAACAAAGACAAATGCTACTGAAAATTTATAAAATTTAGGAATTTAACAGTCCCAGGGGGCCTGAGATGTTATGTTTCAACCCTTTTGCTCCAAATTTTGGTTTTTCAGATAAGGAAGGTCAAATGGGGGCAGAAGAACTTGATTGATAACAGTAGTCCAGCTTGTATGGTGCCAGAATGGCTACCAATCATTCAATATTAATAAAACATTTTATAAAAACACTAGGAGATTATATCAGATGAGTAAATTTTGTTATATTAACTCTAATATCTCTTGCCTCTTTTCAGGGTTCCTATTTTATGTTACTTTGCTTTTTGTGTTTTATAAGATCATGCTAGCATCCTCCTGCATCCTAGGTGTGCACTCTTCCAACTGAACTATACCACTCTTCATTTTAGAGTTCAGTACTTGAACATTTTATCATTCACTACTTTGTTTATCCTCTCACCTTTTTTTTTTTCTACACTTGTTTCACACCCAAGCCAGTCACATCATTCTTGCATTTCTTCCAGTGTTGTCTTGCTGCCATGGCCTGGCAAGGCACACCAGTAGGTGTAATGGTGTGACTAGCTGTCATTTACTCTATCCAGAGCTTTGTTTCTATGTGTTTCAGAGCAAGATTGGAACCAGAGCTTTAACACCAATTAATTACAGCAAATGTTGATTTGAAGTTTTAAGAGTATATCATTATAACTTATCTAATCGTTAAGAATAAATAATTATGATAAATATCTTTATGGTCTCAAGACTAAGAATTATCAAAGTCGAACTAGCATGGTAGTATTTGTCTGTAGCCCAGCAGTGAGGGTCAGAGGAAGATGAGGAGTAGAGGCCAGTCTGGACCACCACAGGGAGAATCTATCTATACAAAGAAGCAAAAATTAGAAATTTTGATACCAGAAATTTTCTTTTACACAAACTCCTTAGTCATAATTTAAGTACTTGGAATTTTTATCAGATAATTTTTTTAAAAAATGGTTTTTTCAGGGTCTGGTGCAGTGGCCTGATGTGTAAAGGTATCTATCTCTTCATAATCCCTCATGGCCTGGAGCTCACATGGTGGAAGGAGAACCAACTGCCCTAATGTGTGCTGTGTTAAAGTTGCCACAATACATTGTGTAGCTTATAAAGATGCCAAAGAGGAGTTGCCGATTGCATCTTGTGTGAGAGTGTACTAACATAGCTCCAGTTAAATGCTGTGCTTAGCATTGCAGTCTGAGCAGTGCTTCCTGGACAGCTAGGGTGTTTGAGGTCAGATGCTGTAAATCGTGTGTGTGTGTTTGTGTGTGTGTGTGTGTGCGCGCGCTGTGTGTACTTCAGAGTTAGGGGAACCTCCTACTGCCTTTGAATATGAAAGCATTTTAAACGGTAAGATTATATATAAAATCTACAAGGAATATAAGCAATATTTATTTAATTTTGAAGTTTATCAGAAAGAAAATACTATATCTACAAATTTATTTCAGAATAATTTTTGTTTTTTTTTTGTTTTGTTGCCTTTTTTTTTTTTAAAGATAAGGTTTTACTGTGGATCCCTCACTATCCTAGAACTTGGTTTGTAGATCAGACTGGCCTTGAACTCAAAAGAACTCTGCCTGCCTTTGCCTTCTGAATTCTGGATTAAAGGCATGCACCACCATTTCTGGCTATTTTCAAAGTAATGTTTACATTCTGAGGTGTTTGGAATATATCACATGGCCTGTCCTCCTTCGGTCATTATCAGTTGAGTAATCTGCAGTGCTCTGGAGCTACACCGGCCTTAGGAATTCCCAGGCTATGCATCACTTGGACTCCTCGAGGACTCTTTCTTTCCTCTCAACTGTGTTAACCCTGTGAAGTATTCTTCTGAGATAGCTTTGGAAGAACAGTGTGTGACAGACAGTTCTATGCTCTTGAAGATTAAGTACCAACCTACACTGCCAACTCTGTTTCAGACTAAAGTATGGTGGTGGTTAATACTGGTTAGCCGTCACCTTTGACTGAGAAGTTTTAAGATAGTTTTTTAGAGAGAAATTGGAGTAGATGTGGGGGTGGGGCACTGTGACTGTCCTATAGCATTTGTCTGGAGGTCAGAAAACAGCTTTGGGGATCAGTTCTGTCATTGTGGGGCTTAGGGATTAAACTCAGGCTTCAGGCTTATGCAGTGAACACTTTTATCTGCTGAACCATATTACTGGTCTTGAGAAGTTTTAAAAACAGTATTCAGTGGGAAAGAGTTCTGTGCCTTAGTAATAATTGCATAGGAGAATTGCGGAGAAAGCAGAGTTTAGCAAGCATTACTGAGGCAAGACTAGTTGAAGCCTTTAGATTTCTGAGAGCTAAATGTGTTGTCCAAACTTTTTATCACAGAACGCTTTTCTTTTCAGCCTTTTTTTGACTTTAAAGATGTGTGTGTGTGTGTGTGTGTGTGTGTGTGTGTGTGTGTGTGTGCACATGTGTACATGCATCCATACTCACACAGGTATGTTCAAAAAGCGAGAGGAAAACACTGGAAGAACGCCATCTATGTCCTTAGACAGAGTCTCCCAATGGCCTGGAGTTCACTGATTAGGCTAACTCTCTAACCTACAAGCCATAGGGATTCTTGTGTTTATGCTTTCTTGGTCTGGGATTATAGGCCTGTAATATCTGATAATATCCACATGGATTTTATCATGGAATCTGGGATTGAACTTGAGACTTCATGCTTGTAGGAGCTTTACCAGTTAGTTGTACCATACCTGCAGCCCCCATAATAACATCTGTTTAAATTGGCAAGAAAAATTTTTTCTTGCTTTCCATGTATTAATTCACTGCTATGCTTACTCCGGTAGCAGCCTTGTGAAGCACATGGGTCCCATTGTCTATCCTTCCATCGTCCCCTTTGCAGACGTGTATACCGACGTTTATATTAGTTCAAACATAATAGGGGAAGAAAGTGGCAGAACCAGAACTCAAGAGTTGTTCTCTTCTGTCATCCAGTGACAGATTTGGGTACTCTAAAAAGTGTTCCAGTCTAGAATATGTAGAAATATATTTTAGAAATAACCCTGATCCACATATTAAACAATGCCAGAACAGAGCTTTAGAACTGAGTAAACTGAGTCTCTCTTGTGTACATGCAGTTCTGCCCTCCTGCATACCAGGTGAGTTGTACACAACATGCGTCTCACCAATCAGTCAATCATGATGCTTTAAGCAGACCAAAGGTGCTAGACTCACTTTCTCATTTTGTATGTTTAATGATTTTTCTCCTCATAATTCATAACTCATTTAAGTTATTTTTAGGTACTTCTAGATAATATCTTGATTTTTAAAGAAAACATTCTTGCCGGGTGGTCACGCCTTTAATCCCAGCACTCAGTAGGCAGAAGCAGGCGGATCTCTGTGAGTTCAAGGCCAGCCTTCCAGGACAGGAACCAAAAACTACTGAGAAACCCTGTCTTGAAAATCCAAAAAAAAAAGAAACATTTTTGTGTTATTCTGTCCAAGACTTGGTTTTCGGATGTGTCTCATGCTGCTCTGTGTGTGTGTGTGTGTGTGTGTGTGTGTGTGTGTGTGTGTGTGTGTGTGTTGAAATAAGGTTTCGTGTAGCCTAGGCTGGCCCTGAACTTACTTTGTAGCTGAGGCTGTCCTTTGAGCTACTCATTTTCCTGCTTCCACCTTTAAACTGTTGTCAGGATTTCAAATGTATGCCCTCATGCCTGGCTCTCACTGTGCCATTTTTAAGGTTATAGTTATATCTTCACATGATAAAACAGAGCTAAAATTACTTTTGTTTTGAGACAGTCCCACTGTGCAGGCCTGGTAGGTCTGGAATTCATTATGTAGGATAAGGCTGGCCTCAAATTCAAGGGTAATCCCCCTCCCCATGCTGGAATTAAAAGTATAGACTGCTGTACTCAGCTGTGAAGGATTATTTTTAAGAATATATTTCATCAGTTTTTCTTCACTTGGTATTTATTGTTCTAAACTGTTAAAAATGACATATTAAAATATGAATATAATTGAATGAGAGTTCTCTTTTTGTGGGTGAGTTTCTGTTGTATATTCCTGTGACACCCAGTGGGCAACACTGTGTTCTAACTCTAGAGCTCTTTAATGAAACCAGTTAACTTTTACTTTAACAGTAACTGTATATAACTTAATTGACCTTGGTCTCTTTATGGCTTCCCATAAGGCCTTTCTGGAGCAATGCATTCTCAAGTATTCCCTCACGCTCATTTTGGTAGGTGGCCACAACTAGATTTCTGTGGCAATTTGTCTAGCTGCTTGTGGAAGCTTCTGCTAGTGTTTTGGATCCTTGCATGTGAATTTTAGTTATTTCCATGTTTTAATATGGAGTGGGCATGGATGTGTGGCATCAAGGTCATGTTGTATTAAAACTAACATGAAAATCCTATGTAATGATTTATATTTTAATACTGAAAAGCATTATTGCTTACCTCCATGGTCACACTAGAATGTTAATAGCTATTTTGATTATTTTAATTACGTTTAAATTCTTAGTACTTTTAAGTGATACCTTTTGATGTACCAAATCATTTTCCTGCTTTTTCTCCTGGAGTTGGTTTTGCCTAACTGTCCAAGCTTTGCTTTGAGTGCTTTCAGCAGTGACTTGTCAGTTGCTTCAGTGCATCTGTCTGCAGTGAAACCTCTTGTCTCCCGCAGTGTGCTTAGGCTTTCCTCCGTTCACTTGCTTCCCAGTAGCCTGTTCTTCTCCCTTTCTTTTCTTTTCCTCCCTCGCTGCCAAGTAGTAAAGAAATTAAAAAGAAAAGAAACTGTCTGTAGTCTAATTAGGTTCATTGAGCAAATTCACATTGTCAAACATTAGGATTGCTGTGAGTAACAAACTTTTCAGTGTGTTTGGTTTTTTGGTAAGAACATCTTGTGGAGTGTTTTTAGTATTCAATTTCTTCACCTTGAATCAGTCACCTTTGAAATCAGGAAATTCAATAAATTAATAGGCTTTTACAGTATTTCATTGTATCCTTCAGCAGTAGTGTACAGTTAAAGCACATTGCTGTCACGTATTTCACTGAGTCCCTCCCTGTAACGAGCATGTTGTCGGCTCATGGGAAGATGCTTTTTTATGTATTTCCTGCCAGTTACTCACATAGTGTTCTGCTGTTGCACATCTTTTAAGTGAGAGTTTGTTCATAAATGTCCTTGCTTATGTAAATAGGGCATGATGTAGGCATGCCACATTAACATTGGTGATTTCCACATGGATTCCAGCTCATGCTCTACCCACCAGCACAGCAAGCCAAGGAGGAGCTAGTAATGTGGACACGGGACCATGTGCCTGTTAGTCTTCCATCTCTTCTAAAAATGCCCTTTGTACTTCTTTTCCAGTCTTCATACATTTACACCAACTTCTGCAGCTCAGTAATCCCAGATATCCTCCAATCACTTCCAGAGTTTGAAATGGGAATGTAGAAGTATATGTTTCTATGTATGTGTATGTATACATATGTAAGACTGTATATAGGCACACATACATAATTAGTAGGAACTTACTATAATAACATTAATGTTTTAAATAGAATTCCTTTCTTTGTCTTTGGCTGTAGTTATAAAAACCAGTTTTGAATGCCCTGCCTTACCCTAGTTGTCCTATAAATTGTCTATTTTTAATGAACTCTTTTGAAGAGGTCTTAAATTTTTTTTTCTCCAGAATCATGAACCCTTAGTAATTAATGTTTGGTTGTTTTTTTAAATTAGACATAGGAGAACAGCCTCAAATCCAGGATGTATAATCCTATACACATCACAGTATGACTGTCTTCTCGAGTCAGGCTATTATTTGGCTTTAGGTAATTGCTTAGGGAAGTTTTTTTGGGGGTGGGGGTGGATTTCAAATGATAGCGTTTGTACTTTCTTCCTGGTCACTGCATTTTCAGAACAGAAATTCTTAGGTTATGTTATAGTTGCAGTAGACAGTGTTATTCTATACTTACTGTGTCAGGATTTGGGGCTTTCAGATGCCCTTAATATGTGTCTTAGTGTTTTCAAGGTAAGTGTTGCGTGTTCCACGCTGTTAACTGCTGTGTGTCTCTGACCTGTTCTTTTTTCTTTTGCCAGCGGCTACCTTTGGCACCGCATCCATGAGTATGCCAGCAGGATTTGGCACTCCTGCCCAGTACAGTCTCCCCACCAGCTTTAGTGGCAGTTTCCAGCAGCCCGCCTTCCCAGCCCACGCAGCTTTCCCTCAGCAGCCAGCTTTCTCTCAACAGCCCAATGGTAAGCTTTAACGTTTGGTTGTCTGTCTACAGGATGTAGACGGTGCTCTTTACACAGTGTGGTGTTAAGTGCTTGAGACTATCTTACGATTGCCATAGTCTTGTGCACTGAGTGTTAACTACAGAAGAGAGTCTTTCGGAGTTCAGGCCATACGTGTGAAGGTTTTATTGTGGTTTTGTAAATTTCCTTGACCGTATGTTAGGAAACATCAGTGACTGTAAAGCTCTTCTTGGAATCACCTATGTCTTTGTCTTATAACTCCATCTTGTGTTCTCATGTATTTCTTGATTGAAATGGAGATTATATTTTTTTGAAGAATGGTTGCTGCTGTGCCTTTTTGGTATAGGTGTATGCTGTAGATGAACACTTTTTTTCTTCTTTGGTTTTTCGAGACAGGGGGTTTCTCTGTGGCTTTGGAGCCTGTCCTGGAACTAGCTCCTGTAGACCAGGCTGGCCTCAAACTCACAGAGACCCGCCTGTCTCTGCCTCCCGAGTGCTGGGATTAAAGGCGTGCGCCAAGTAGGTGACAGTGGTGCCCTTTTTATAACAGGCTAGGAGATTATTCAGCCTTTCTTACCTAGTTTCTTACTTGCTGAAGTTTGAAATCCATACATTTCAAAAATGTCCTCGGATCTCAGACATTATATAGTAGTTAGGAAATACATAGCATAGAATAGTCATAAGTGATAACTTGTTTCATAAGATATACTGTGGTATTGTGTAGAATCTATCGACTTGTGCACATGACCCCTCTCATAGTCACACACTCATCAATCAGCTAGCTCCTTTGAAGGTCAGTGACCTACTCTGGGCTGAGTTAGATTGTTTTCAGAGCTCTGAGGCTCTTGATACCTGCCATAGAATGCTTGTCTTTGGTGTCCAAAAAGACATGAGACCTAATTTTGCATTTCAGTTTGTCATCTGGGAAGAATTTATATAAAACTAGGACTGTCTTGGTGGCAGTGTAGCTTGTAACTGATGTGTTTTGTGTTTTTTTTTTTTTTGTTTGTTTGTTTGTTTTTTAAATAAGGTGCAGGTTTTGCAACTTTCGGACAGACAAAACCTGTGGTAACCCCTTTTGGTCAAGTTGCAGCTGCTGGAGTGTCTAGTAATCCTTTTATGGTGAGTGAATTTTAGCTTTAAAACACCTTAAAAATAAGTTATATTTTATTTTTAAACTAGAGAAAACAGAACGTGACTATTCCTGCATACAACTTAGTGCTTTGTTAATATGGTGTTCTAGATTATGTATGGCCCTTGGAATGTCTGTAAGAAATTATGGACAGCAGATTAGCTGTTTTATAATGTGAAATGCATGCACTCTAGTCAGAATTATACTCGGGGAATCCATTGGATTTAAGGGAAAGCATCTTAAGAACAAGATGTTTTTTAGATTTGAACTGAGAAGTACTCCTGTTAGGCGCCAGGTCCCTTTTAGGCACTGTTGAAGCTCTGCATATGTGACGTGAGCCCACGTGAAAGGACGGGGATCTGGAACAAGTGATAGGTGAATTTATACTTTGTTGGCAGCAACAGTGATGAATAAGTGATGTCAATTAAAAATTCTTAATAAAAATTTGAATGAAGTTATAAATTTAAGTACAATTTAATGCTTTCATCTCCTACAAACATCATTTCTGTTTATTTTGTCCGTGTGTTTTTTCCAATAGACTGGTGCACCAACAGGACAATTTCCAACAGGAAGCTCATCAACCAATCCTTTCTTATAGCCTTATATAGACACTGTACTGGAACGAACTTTTATGTGATCATATTACATCTCTCCGCCTCTTGCCCTGTTGTCTTGTTTCACTGATCTTAGCTTTAAACACGAGAGAAGTCTTTGAAAAGCCTGCATTATGTATTAAACACCAGGTAATACGTGCAAAACAGGGGGCTCAGCAACAACTTTTCACTTGTGAATTGGCAGGAAAAGGTAGCGGCATCATGTATGTTAAAAATTGGCTAATATTAAGTTATTGCAGATCCCACATTCATTATGCTGCAGTACTGTACATACTTTTCTTAGAAATTAGCTATTTGTGCATATCAGTATTTGTAACTTTAACACATTGTTATGTGAGAAATGTTACTGAGGAAATAGATCAGCCACTTTTAAGGTGCTGTCATATATCTTGGAATGAATGACTAAAATCATTTGAAGCATCGCTTCTGAAAAGTTCAAAGTCAAAATTGGAAGGTTTTATTCATTCTTGAATTTTTCCTTCTGAAGAGCTCTTCTATTTATACACGGCTAAATTCTTTAAAGATGTGGAGGACACCTGTCTGCAGAATAAAGCTGATCATGTTTTGCTACAGTTTGCAGGTGAACAAAATAAATATTAGAAAATATGCTATTGTTTTTGTGTTTTTGCTGCAATGCCTTTACCAAAGTGGCCTTAAATAATGAGTAGTGAGTTGAGAACATCTTGAATTCTTAAAGACTTCTAGTGACTAACTTTTTTTAAAAGGCCATTTAGAAAATTTATTAAAACTACTAGGACTGCTATATTCAGGACTGCGACAGTAGAAAAGCATTTAAATGTAGCTTGTCAGATTCACCATGCTACTTCTGATTTCTCTGCAACTTCTTAATTTTGTGAAATTTGTAAATATGGAGATTTTGCATGTATGTGTATTTACAAATATTTTTTAAAAATCTTGAATTCTCAGACTGCAAAAGGCCTATTTTACCTATTTTTTTCTGTTCTCCATTTTAATTGTCGTTGAATGTATTGGAAGCAGACATGCATTGACTGTGACATGATGGCACCTGAGTTCCTCTCCCGCCTCCCCCATTTTCTAGATGACTGATAACTATCTATAGAACATTTGTTTGTTTGTTTTGGAGTAAAGCAACAGGAACCCAATGTTACCTTAAAGTGATGAAATACTTCGTGTAAAAAGGTAGCAATACTAAGTTTAGTTTATCTTTTTGTTAATATTCAAATGAACTTGTTTAATTATTTATATGTAGTAATGCCTTGTTCATCCCAAGATAATCTGGCTCTCTCATCAAAACGAAACACAACTAAGAGAACTGAAATCATTAAAAAAAATGCTTTGAAAACACCCCTAAGTCATGATTCTGTATGTAGAACATACATGTTTCTTTGAATGTGAGAGTTTAATATTTTGATGTACTGGCCCATAGCATATTTGTGTTGATGAAAGGAAGGAGTCCAAAGCGAGGATGAAGAGCATGCACTGCCAAAGTCCGTAGGAACAGCGGTATTAGTACATCTGGTGATGACTGTGCATCCAAAAAGCTAAAATTGCATACACAGTATGTAATGCCTGTAGCAAAATTTTAGGTGATGTAAGCATCAGTCTGCTCAGACATTTTTTATTCATATTGGATGCATTCGCAGTGGTGGTTGTTACTGTCATGCTTAAGTCTGGGGTTTACTTGGGCTGCAGTCTGCTGCTCTTCTTACCAGAAGGTGTGATTTATATGTAGTAGACAAAGGACATCCCCAAGTCTCAGCCCTTTCTGAGCACCCTGCCCCTGCGACTCCCGTTACCACTGCTCAGGCTCAGCTACACTTTGGGCATAGTCTTGAGTTCTTTGTACATTTTGGGGTCTTCATCTATTTTCCTGGAAGGAGAATTTGAATGTCTTTAACTGTTTGAGACTGTATTAGATTCAAATCAATTCATATGTACAAAAGTTAGACTATTTAATTGTAGGCCATTACCCAGACAGCCCATCAGGCTTCCCATCTATTAAGTAAATTAAACAGTTGTTATCAAAGTAGTTTTAAAGACTTTATTTTTTCCTAGTAGATCTTGAGATTTGTAATTAAATGGGGAACCTGTATTACTGACTTTTAGTGAGTGCTCATAAACAAAATATAAAATCTTAGATTCAGAATAGCTTCAGTGTTAAAGTGGGCTCTCTCATTATCTTTCTCTTAAAAATCTTTTAGATTTAAGTTTGTTTTGCTTCTAGTTTAGTTACTGTCTTGAGCATGTGAAGGACAGTGCTCATCCCTTCTGCTTGAAACACGTTTCCTGTTCTGTCTTTGATCAGAAATGAATTTGTCTTTTAGGGTGGCAAAAACTGTGTTTAAAAACGTTTTTATGACGCAGGGAATGTTTTACTTTAGATTCTTTTGAAAATAGAGGACAGGTTGTCATTTTCTTCCATAAAATAATTTGTTTTGTAAATAGGACACCCCTTATCTGGGAGGTGCTTTGTTAGTAGTCGTTCTTGCCAGTCGCAAAGTTGGGAGCATTTCTGAAACATGTTTTATGTTTATAGTTTTTATAACTGTTAAGATCCCCCAAAGAGCTTTTGTTTATGAAACTTGAATTTTACATGAGTTGTATTGCAAATCAGTACAGAGGAATTTCTAGAACGTAACTTTTAAATATAGTTGTAATAGTCCTGTTACTTGTGAACCTAGATATTTGGTGTAAAATAACTTTTCCAAAATGAAGACAAACACTGTTTTGCCACCTTTTCGGTGTCAGGCTAAGTAGAACCTGAGATCCTCATGCCTTTTATGTTCAGACTCTCCATCTCACGGCAGAAAAGAACTGGAAGCTGCACTGTGCGTGTGGAATTCAGGTGGTGAGAAAGGCGCGCACCATCTTAGAACTAGAGCAAAAGCAGTGAGACCTGGGGCAGCTCTTCTCAGGGCCCCAGAGAACATTTTGAGAACACGGCACTTAAATGTGATGAGACCTTGCCCCATCTGAACTTCAAGGGGTTGTTTGGGAAAAGGTGAAATTCCAGTTGAAATCTTAAACTGTTTAGCATTATTAACTACTTTAACTAAATAGCGGTGATATTGTGGGTGTGGAGTTTTAACACCCTTTCATATATCAGGTGCTCACTGAGTAGTTTCCTTCTCTCAGCTCATGTAATGGAGTCTACAAGACAACAGGTAAGCTAGTTACAGCTCTTATTCTTGGGAGAAGGTACTGTTGGATTAAATTGTGCTTTCTTATTTAGATGTGGCTAGATTCTCTTTATTTTGAAATTTAAGTTACTTCCTGTATTTCTCAAAGTGTTTAAATCATTTAACATGAATTTTTTTATACTTTGATAAACTAAGTACCATTTGCTCTGTAGAGTCTGTTTTGTTTGTTTTTGTTCTTTTCTGACAGGGTCTCTGCATGGTCCTGACTGTCCTTGGAACTCACAGAGAGCTACCTCTGCCTCCCAAGTAGTGGGATTAAAAGTGTGCATCGCCACCCCCAACCCAGAGTCTTACTAACCTTTAGAGTGGTGGAGTAAGTGATGAGACAGCCTTATACCTCAAGTTGACAGTGATTCTTGGTGTGGGGAAGCTTTTCTTTATTTATGTAGTCTTTTCCCCTTATGGTTTTAAAATTACTTTTTAAAGGAAATTTTAAAATTGTATAAATTAGCTTATTGTATTGAATTTATCCTCAAGCCAGTTGAACTTTGTCTATTCTAAAGCAGTATCATTAATTTGCTTTTCATGTAGTTGTATTTGAACAAATGAAGGAGTGACTGGGGTGTACCTTGGAGGTTACTGGTGTTTCACAGCTATCTGAAGAAGAGAACAGGAACCTGCTTTGTAGCAACAGGCTTATTTGACCAGCAGTCTGATGTCATGAAATGCAGTTTGAAAGATGCGCGAGTAGATTTCTTTAGCCCGTTAGACCACTACAGCTCGGTCCTGATGTGTGATCCTACAACTCATTCACTAGTTTTATCAGCCCTTTGATGATTGCATGCAAGCTTCAAAAACCTTTAGTTTGATATTACTAGTGATTTATTCTGTAAGAGTCTGGACACTAGTTTAACATTCTTGAAAGGACACTGAGCTGTGAAAGATTTGAAGAAGATGATGGTCTTTTCTGGTATAAGGCTATACAGGAGCTGTGTTGTGTGATCAGGCATAGTGGTTCTCAAAGACTTGACCTTGAATCCCATGGGTGGAGTGGACTTGAAGGGATCCTGAAGAACACCCTTACCCGAGTGTTATTGGTTACACATTCCAGTGCTTCACTAAGCCTTTAAAAAGGTATACCTTGAATAGGTCTCTGACACCTTTTCTTTTGACATAGGACTTGATGTTGCTTTTTTCCAATGAAGACTTCTGCCAACATGGTACACCTGGTATTCTATCCATATTTTGTCTCTAGTTTCATTGTCCAGCAATGAAAATAGAATGTTATGATTCAGAATTTTGTAAAAAGGAAGAAAGAATCCCAGACAGAACATTTTATTTGCTGCTAAACATTGCCATTTGATCACATTTTAAATTGGTATGTTCTCCAAAATCTTGATCACTTGTTCTGTAAGTTACAGTCTGAACAAATACTCAAGGAGCCTTGTGACTATGGCTATTGAGTCAGTGGCTTGAGGCAGCAAACGTTGTAAAATCACAATAGTCAGTGTTCCTAGAATGTGGTAAGTAGAGCCAGGTTTTTAAAGGCTTAGAAGTTCTTATATGTTCTAAATGACATGCGTATAATTTTTACAGTTGTGCAGTGTACACGGTATATGGTGAACAGAGACTTACCCATTCTCACATACAGCTTTTATTGTCTTCATGGTCTTCTGCATGCTGCCTGTCATTATCTCTCCATGCACGCCTTTCATGGTTCTGCCTTTGTTTTAGCTTGGACGCCTTTCTGTTTACCACTCGCAGCACTACCCCATCTTGTGCATGGCGTCAGGATCCAGGAATGGATGGCCTTTTGGAGGAACACTTTTTAAGATACATATGCTTGGGTGAAAATTCTTGATTTTGTCTGATAAGAAACTTTTCATAAAACAGATAATTTTATTTTGCAACTCACCAGCTTTTTAATTTTGTTTTTGTATTTCCATCTGAGAAATTTTTCAGATCTCAATTCTTTCTTAAACAACGTGGAAAATCCCAGCTTTTAAATTAAGTCACAAGGCCATTCCGTGTGCTCTGACTGAGAGACTTGTGGAAGCTCTTGTCTGTTTTACACTTCACTGTTTCTGTCATCGCCCACCCCCACCTGTGACTCCTGCTGTTTCTGAAAGAATGGCCTGAAGTCTGTTTTATAGTTTGTCAGTATTCTGCTTCTCTGCCTCATTCACCTCAGCTTGGAGAATGAATTTTGTGTCTGTAAAAAGAAAGTACAGTCTGCTTGTTCACAACTAGAGTTCACTCCTTGTCTTCAAAACCAAGCTAGCTTTTGCTTTGAAAAGCATTGGGGAACAAGTCCAAAAGTTTGAATTCTGATTTCTTACAGAAATTAATATGCATTTAGTATAGTTATGCATAGGATTTGCTTCCTAAACAAGTTTGTTTTTAATGAGAAACACTATAAAATAATGGATAAAATAGCAGTAACCGATTAAATAACTTACTCTATTTGAAGGGAAAAGTATAGAATAGGGAAGGGGCTGTCTGGCTGTGGGCTATTATGTTTGGAAAATGCTCATGCTAAGGTTTTTAAAGCTCAGTCTGAGTGCGGGAATTGGTTTTAGGTACTTAAAACACTGATTTTGATAATTGTATCATTCCATTTTTGGAGATTCTGAAGATTGAAACTTTGATCTTGCACATGCTAGGCAAATGCTCTACAGATAAGTCTAACTAATTTCTTGTTCATTGTGAAATACTGCTAAAAAAATAAAGACATGACTTTGCATACCATTTGGGATGGCCTCTTCAATTGTGTCTTCAGATAACAGCAGTGCCTGAGAAGTTGGAAGCAGCACCTCTGTTGTGCCAGTCGTAGCACATACTCCTGGATTGCGTATGCATAGAGAACATGGAGGCTAGAGGTTAAGTGTTTTTGCTCATAGTGAAGGATAGTTCGGTGTCTCTGGTGACATAGTCAAAGGCTCCCTCGTACCTGCTTCCTACAGAAATGGCTTTTTCTTGGCTTAGTTTCACCATGTGTCTGGATTGGAATGTTTGTTTGATGGAATCTAGTAGCTTCATTGAGTCTATTGCTTTAAAAGGCAAAATAAAAATCCTAGTTTTTATCCTGTTCTCTTTTGAGATCTTTGTAAGTTGTAAAATATCAGGTGTGGTGGTATACACCCGTAATTCTAGCACTGTGGAGGCTGGCCACATAAGACTGTTCCTCCCCACGCCTCCAAAAAG